GCGGTGCCGGACCATCAGTTCCCGGATAATTGGTGGTGTACCTGTATTAATTTTAATTTTGGCAGAAAATAAATCATGCATAAGAATCAAAAGACACATGCAAGCCACTCAGGCCAACCCAGGGTGAAGCTTGGTGTATATGTGAATTTATTCGATCACACACACTCAACAAGAGAAAAATTTAATATATGTTAAAGGTTAAGCACTAACCTAACCACCTCCTGTATATTGACAATAAGAGAAGTTTCTGGTTGCTAGTCAGGGTTAGTGCACCTGACATTTACATATTCCTACACTGCCTTGGAAATGGGACGTGATGTTGACCAATAGTGTTGCCTCGACCATTATGTGCCAATTCTGACACCGTCCTCTCTTGTTCTAGGAATATAACATTACTACAGGGTATTTTCATATTTCTGGGCACATTTGACAACATTTAACCTTTAGGCCCCGGGTGACGTTCCAGCACGCGCGCCTATTCCCGCCACTGTTTAAATGCCCAGTGCGGATTATCAGGTTCCAGTGTGACCACTTGCCTGTCACGCCACACCTCGGCCACAGGGAAGCTTCCTGAACATAATTACCTACTTTTGTGTGTTTCATTTTCATTGTTTGTCCATTTTATCATGTTGTATCAAAGTAATATTCATAAAAGTAGTGTAGTTGTATTGTAGTGTAGTATTACTGGAAAATAATGCTATGATTATGTTATAAATGTATTTATTTGTGGAATTATTATTATTTTATGCATTACTTGTTGATTGTTGCCAAGCACTTTTTTATGAAAAATAATGCAAATAAAATATTCAAAATTAATTATTTATAGCAAATAAGTATTAAGATCAGTAAATATATGCATTACTGGCCACCTCGGACACAAAGACGAGCTAAAAATAGCTGCTAAGTGCCGAGGGACCACGAGCGTTAGCCGAGGGACCACGAGCGTTAGCCGAGGGACCACGAGCGTCAGCTGTCAAACAAACACTGTCTTATCTCTCCCCCTCCTCCCTGGGAATGGGACAACTGGCCGCCGCCATCTGGCCGCCGCGGACTGGGGGTAAACTGCAAACGCCTAATTTTGCGCTCTCAAGGCAGGTTAGGTTAGGTTAGGTACTTCATGGGCTGCGGCCAGTTGTCCTAGACCCCTCCTCCCTCCCTCTGCACGGCCAGGGAAGTTTCTAGAGCAGTGGTTCTTAACCTGGCGGGGCGTCAGTATTTCCAGGGCGCAAGCCCTAGGGAAAAAGTAGGAATTTATCTATTTATAATTATAGTTTTTATTCTCTTAACAAGAGCGTGGGCTAATATTGAGAAGTTTATGAAAAAATGCAAAAGTATCGCCTTATAACTTTAGTTTTCTATAGGCTACTTTTTTTACTTAGGGCTTACCATTTTCTGTACTTATTGACCCCCCTCCCTATCCCTCGAAACCCATGGGGGGGGGGGGGTAACTCGTCCTGGACCTGTATACTGCTCGTTGGTGACTGGTGGGCCCCGTTCTCTCCCAGTCTTCTGCACACGTCCGTGGCAATAATTCCTCTTCTCTCACATTTATTCAGTTAAGGCTGTTGAGGTATTTGTCAGGCAACAGTGTAAAAGAGGAAATGGTGTTCTGTCACCCCATGGAAAGTTGTACAACAGCAGCAGCTATTTTTCATGATGTATCAAACTTCTTTCAGGAAAACCAACTTTCGTGGGACTCGCTGGTAGGGGTGTGCACTGATGGAGCTCCAGCCATGCTTGGTCTGCAGTCTGGATTCATTACAATGGTGAAAGAAAAAAATCCGTCTGTTGTAGGTACACACTGCATACTTCATCGTGAATCCTTAGTATCCAGAACTTTACCTGCTGAAATGAGGGATGTCCTGAACGTGGCTATCAAGGTAGTCAACTTTATCAAAGCTGGAGCCTTAAACAGTCGTCTCTTCAAACTGCTGTGTAAAGATATGGAATCTGAACATGAAACCTTGCTTTTTCACACGAACGTACGATGGCTATCAAAGGGGAACATACTTGGACAGCTTTATGAACTACGAGAAGAAGTAGCAATATTTCTTGATCAGAAGGCAGATCTCCATGACAAGTTCCAGTCTGAAGGCTTCTAGCAATCTCTAGCTTACCTGGTGGACATCTTCGAAGCGTTGAATGCTCTCAACCTTAAACTACAAGGGAAAAACATCAACATCATCATGCACCACGACATCATTCGAACCTTCATGGCCAAACTCGACCTCTGGAAGTGTCGAATTCGGCAGGGAAATACAACCAGTTTAGTAACTTGGATTCTGCTCTCATTCACGGTAACCTTGATTCTGAGTTAAAGAAACAAATAATCATTCATCTAACTGACTTGAAAACAGAATTCATCAGATACCTCCCAAAGATAGTTGAGAAGCGTGAGGCCTGGAAATTCATCAGGAACCCATTTCAATGTGAAGTAGCTGATGTTTCGGATGAAGTGCAAGAGGAGTTTCTTGAGTTGAAGTTCAACTCCACAGCTAAGGAAGACTTCAAAGAATTGGATCTTGAGACGTTCTGGGTCAAGTACCTTCCTGTTTACCCTCTGATCTCACATCAGGCTCTTCGGATTTAAACTATGTTCGGATCCACTATCTTTGTGAAGCTGCATTTTCCACGCTCGTTGCTCTCAAGACCAAGTACAGAAACAGGCTGAACGTTGAAGGGGATTTACGTTGTGCACTCACTGGCATTCAACCACGCATTCAAGATCTAGTAGCTAAGAAGCAGTGTCAAGTATCTCACTAATTTATACTCAATAAAAAGAATAAAAAGACAATATTTTTCATTTTTCTTTAAAATCTGGGAGGGAATTTTATGCATAGATGCAAGGGGGGCGTGGAGGGCAGGACCAATTCCTAGAGGGGGCGTGGTAGTAAAAAGGTTAAGAACCACTGTTCTAGAGGATCAATATATAGTTTTTCTTACTTATTTTTTATTGTTATATTATTTTAAAGGTTAAAAATTACTTTTGGAAAAGTAGATTTTTCCCGATTTACCCGGGCGCGGCGACGGCGGGCAAGGGGGGGGTTACTGCCACCAGGACCCTAACCCGGGGATTAAGGGTTAACCCATTATGAAGGTTGACTCTATACAAGAAGTTGCTAATTTTCTAGCCTATGCTCTTAATTCATAATAGGCTGCTTCTGCTTTCATCTATCCCTATTATACAGTACAGAAATAATACTTGGCAATTTCCTCCTACGCAAAACGCGGTGTTTACCACCATCTACCACCATCCGTAACTGCCCACCCCCCGTCCCCTTTCACAGTGTTATCAGAATAACAGAACTCTAACAGCTGCTTTGTGCTCATTGGTATCCTATTTGTAAGGTTCGAATTTGTGGGTTTGTGTAGCATTTGGAAATTTCCCCAGCTGTACATGTGGGGCTTTAAGCCTTTGTGTAGAGGGTCCCCCCCTCTGTGCTGAATAAAATCTCCTGGCATTACCCAAACAAAATTTCAAAAGTGGCATCCCTATAGTGAAGGGGGCAATAATCCTGGCTCACAGGATCACTAGGTGAAGCAGTAGCAAGACGCTGACTCAAGGTATTTTTAAACCGTAGGAACGCTGATGTGTTTGGCATCCCAGAGTTTGATCTCGTGCAAATTAAAAATATAACACTTTGAATTGATAAGTTTAGCATTTCTTTTTCAAATAAAACCATATTTAAAACCAAACTCAGCGAAAGGAAAACATCTCAAACCTGTATACGTACTGTATAGTGAAGTAGACTTCCTTTGGTGCATCACTAAAGATTAAAACCATATGTCTTGGCTGGGCCTCACAGTCTAGCACTGCATCACAACCAGTGAAACAGTTTCTCAGCAATTTTCAGGTCCTCCACTGCATGTACTTCACTTCTGTATACTAGTGGCACATAACATTTTAAGATGTTTTATGGATTTTTTTCGTAGGAATGTATCTCAGTCTTTATAACTGGAGTCTCTGGAAACTGTGACCCGATTTATGAAAGTGTTTTAGGAATGGAACCCTTTTGTAAATCAAGGAATGCCTATTATATCCAAGGTGCTCCAGACCACAACCTGCTAAGCACTAGTGGGGCCAAAAGGGAGTTATTTATACCCCTTTAGACTTCCCCCCCTCCCCTACACACTCTATCTAGAGAGATAATCCTGTATATTTCTTGTTATATTAGTATTGAGGTTTGGTTAGTAAAGTATGTTTTTTTTTTTTTTTTAGGCAATGTTGAGAAATTTTATCTGGAATTTTCTCCATTTGTAGTTTTGACGCTTAACAGCTTGTGGTCTGGAGCACTTAATATATCATACCACCTGTATCTTTCCTTGTGCACAAATAAAAAGCTAAAACAAGGGAAATCCAATAAGTCTCTTCACTATAAAAATGCAGTTAACCCCTTGTGTACTGGGTTGCCTCTGAGCCGAATAAAATCGTTGGGTGCGAGTCAAATAAATTATTGAAAGTGGCGTCCCCATAGTGAAGGGGTTAGGCGTAATTTCTTTCTGGTATAGAGTTTTTTACAAATGAATTAAAAGTAATTCAGCGACCTGAGGAGCACGTACAATGACTCCAAACTTACGTTCTGAGAAGAAATGAAATATCTCAGAAAAGTGAGCTGGATGTTCTACAGGTCCTGTATCACACGATGGATTTGGTGAGGAATCGTGACAGGTGATTAGCAAACAAACCCCAATCTCCCTATTAGGATTCGGCATGCATCCAAATGATTATGTTAGATTGGGGGCCTTTAATGAACTGGGGCCCGTTTGACCAGCATCCTCCTGACACATACATAGGGGTAAATGTGTCACCTACATATAACAGTACAGTAGTCAGTTCTGAGTAGTATTGAAAATAACACTGCCTTAGTAGTTCACAGTAATGGTGCTTTACACAAAGTATTGAAATAGTCATAATGAAAATAAACTCAATGTAGAATTTTGTACCACGTGCCATGAGGTTTGATACAGTTATGACATATGAATGGAAGGAAACAACAAACAAATTTGTATCAGTATATAACAGTGAAAAAATGGTGCACCTTGACTGTTAAGGAATAAGCTTACCACGTGTTGGCTATCCACAGTTGCTGATTATAATGCCATTTCACATAAAAATATGGAAGAGAACTAAAATAATTAAAAAAAAATATACATGTGAAAACTTGTGATTACTGCACACTGCCTGTCTCACTTAGTTAGGTTAAACAAAAATATCTAACAAAAGTCTAAATCTTTCATTCTTCACAGCATAAATTCACATCATGTTCACATTTCACAGGCATCTAACAACCCTAAAATCATCACCTTCAATTCATTTCCTCCAAAAAATTAGTAAATATACTTTTCAAGCAGCCAAAATCCAATGTCCAAGCCTCCCTAGTACTGTATCTATGTCTGCCAATAGTAGCTATGTCCTTCACCCATTTTAAGCCTTGTGTGCTAAACATCAATCAAATTCTAAGTATGTTTGGAGGCCTCTAGCTGACCTGTGGGAACTTGCAGAGAGAGGCGTTTGTTATTGGACGGTCTTAGCCGACGCATGGCGTGACGAGCAGTTGGAAAGCGCTGGTGGTACCGCTCATCTCTGAGGAACTTGACAGTGACCAAATTGCCTGTAATGTAAGAGGAAAACATTTTTATGCCAAATTAAATAATGAATCATACATCATTCCTTAACTATTTAGAATGTCCTATGGAAAATTTAGGTCATAATAAATAACCACAGTTTTCTATAAAATACTGTAGTCCACAAAACATGTAGCTATGCTTTTTTTATTTGGTCCCCCGTCATACGAGTCCATTTTCTCTCACATCAGGACGCCTGAGTCCTCCGTTTTCTCTCTTAATCTAAGAGTGCACCAGAAACTTTACTATTTTTAGTAATGCCACAGAATTTGAAATTGCAACCCCAATTGCAACTTGCAATTGTTGAGGCAACTAGATATGTCTGATTACAGGAAATGTGTTATTGTCAATTTGTAGGTGAAAGATTTTATCCTCAATAGATGTAGGTTAACATTTCACCTGTAGGCAAATGCTTAGAAAAGCCTAAGGAAGGAAGCATATTCCTTTAACACATAATATCTGACCAGTATGGGGAGGATCATCGTGTCTCCATCAGGGGGTCGTGGAGTGGTGGTCCAGCAGGCGTCATGTGTGTTTTTTTTTGGGGGGGGGGGACGTATATGCGATCGGACGTTGTTCGGTCGGATGTTAACCGGCGCATGACTGTACAGTGGTCCCTCGGTTAATGAACACAATTCGTTCCACAGAGTCGTTCGTTAACCGAAAATTTCGTTAACCGAATCCATTATTTCAATGGGATATTGGGTAATTGGTTCCAGCTCACAGAAAAGTACATACAAAGTAAAGCCAAAAATGCATAGTCAAAAAAATTCCTAAAATTCCCCTAAATCGCCCTTAAATCACTATACAGTCATGCGCCGGTTAACGTCCATCCGAACAACGTCCGATCGCATATATGTCCGTGGCCCATGAAAACATATTTGAAAAAAAAAAATAATAATAATTCAGATAACGGGACGTAGCGGATGCAAGTGGCCTTAGAGCGGGCACAGTCACGTATGCATCGCATGTTCTTATAGATTGTGCTGCCAGGCGTATAATGATACAGTACAGTAACTATATATCCATATGTTTTGATAGATACAAGAAATGCCTATGTTACTGTTTTATGTCTATTGTAGTGTACAGTACACACTTTTAATTTGATTTCCTTACTTACGAAATAAAAAGTTTACAAACTGTATAATAATTTATGCTTTGTTTTTGCTCTCGACAGCGCAAAAAACATCATCAGCGTCCATTCCTGATTACCTCCGCGTATCGTGAACGTTAATATTCCATTGTCTTTTCAGTTGATTTTATTAAAATCAATCCACCCTAAAGTTAATCATGGGTCCCAAACGCAGCTCAACCAGCCCTAGTGGTAGCAGCAGCAAGAAACAACGCAAGAGCATTGATTTGGAGGAGAAGCAGAAAATAATAAGACAGCATGACGGAGGTAAATCTGTGAATGCTATCGCACGTGAACTGGCATGTCGCACTCTACGATCACTATGATAATGAAAAACAGAGAGAAGATTCTTGAAGCGGTAAAAGGATCGGCTTCACTGAAGGCAACAAGAATGACCAAGTTTCGAGAGGGGCCGATATCAAATATGGAAAAGATGCTGATGACCTGGATTGAAGACCAGACTCAAAATCGAGTCCCACTCAGCACGCTAACCATCACGGCCAAAGCAAAAAGTTTGTTCGAGATGTTGAAGCAACAAGCAGGAGCCGACTACGACAGAGAGTTTTTCGCAAGCTCTGGCTGGTTTAAACGCTGTAAACATCGCTATGGGCTACATAACGTCAAGGTCAGCAGCGAGTCGGCAAGAGCGGATTCTGCAGGCGCGGCGGAATTCATCGAAACCTTGGACAACCTAATCGTCGAGGGAGGATATTTGCCCCAGCAAATAATTAACATGGACGAAACCTCCTTGTTTTGGAAGAGGATGCCTGTAAGGTCATTCATACACAAGGAGGCCAAGTCGATGCCAGGCTTTAAGGCATTCAAAGACCAAGTGACTGTGATGTTGGGGGGGAGTGTTGCCAGATTCAAGTTGAAACCTTTTGTGGTGTGTCATAGCAAGAACCCCAGGGCTTTTAAAAAAGCCAACAAACATACGTTGCCAGTGTGTTATAGAGCCAACCAAAAGTCATGGATGATGCAAGCATTGTTCCAGGATGCTCTTCTCAACTGCTATGCTAGTGACCTCGAAAGATACTGCATAGAAGAGTTCAAAATTTTGTTGATTTTGGACAATGCTCCAGGTCACCCCCCATTCATTGGTGAACCTCCACCCCAACATCAAAGTGGTTTTCCTGCCGCCGAATACCACCTCTTTGATTCAGCCTATGGATCAAGGGGCTATTGCAGCTTTCAAGTCCTACTATCTCAGGAGGACCTTTGCAATGGCTATTTCTGCAACGGATGATGGCGAGAAGACACTGAAGGAGTTTTGGAGAGAATACAACATATACCACAGCATCAAGAACATTGCTTAGGCCTGGGATGATGTCACAAAACAATGTATGAACAGAGTGTGGAAAAAAGTATTGAAGAGATATGTGCACGATTTCAGGGGTTTTGAGACGGTCACAGAACTCGAGAAAATTACGATCAATCTTGTGAACATGGCAAATGAGCTGAACCGCGGCGCGGACGACAACGATATAGAAGAACTGCTAGACGTTGTTCCTGAAGAATTAACCAACGAAGAGTTGTTAGAGTTACAGGAACATCGAACAGCTAAAGAAGAGGCAAAGGAAAAGGAAAGTGAGGAGGTGGAGGAGATACCGAAGAAGTTCACTGTAAAGGGGTTATCTAAGTTCTTCGCCGACCTTAACACTCTGCTGAAAAGTGCCGAAGAGATGGACCCCAACACTGAAGGCTTCTCACTCATAGAGAGGAATGCACATGCAGTGTTTGCCGCATGTCGTCAAATCTACGAGGAGAAGAAACAACTGACAAAACAAACAACGCTCGACATTTTCATAAAAAAAATAAGCATAAAAAAAAACAAGTCATCCCCGCGACGAACCTCAGCCAGGCCCTTCACATGCTACAGATGATATCGTCATTGAAGCTGCAACTGAGGAACCTGTGTATCAAATTGGTAGCAGTGACAGTGATGTTGATGATCCAGGAATGGCTTAAAAATTGTGTAATGTATATGTAAATTGTATACTGTACTTAAGTTAAATAAGTGAAATGTAATATTTTATTTTCAAAGTAAAACCTAAGAAAAGTCCATCAGATTTAAGGATACGATACTGCATCTACTTCTCAATCGGTGAACAGTGTAGTGTTTAATTTTACTTTACTATACAGTACTGTACCTGTTTTACTGTATGTATATTATACCTGTATTTCTTTTACGACAATATGTTAGCTATTGTAGACATTATGTTATTTTATTAGCCTTCCTAACCTCTGTGTTTCATTAGTTGTGTACGTTATCTAGTGAATTTAGTGAATAATGTACAGTACAAGTACACTGCAATATTCCACATATACGTAAGTATAAATACTAAGTTTACTATGTGATGATCAGACAACGTCCAATGCGGTTAACGTAACGTTTCCAAGAACACACACAGGTGTACCCCGCTTTACGCGGTCAATTGAACCCACAGGGTACCGCGTTAAGTGAACAACAGAACATATGGGATTAATTCCAATAGAGACTGGCCCGACCCCCAAACTCTACTTTTTCCGACACAATACCTATGTTCTAGTAAAAAAAACATCTTAATTTTATGATGGTACATGCACACAATTAATACTTAAGAGAAATAGAGAAATACAGTCACTAAGTTAATGTCCATTCAAATAATGGACTCAACTCCCTCCCCCTCTTCTCACACTACACTGCTGGCTCTTCCCTCTCTGAGAAATTTTGGGGGGAAAACCACTAGATTTTAATAAATAATACCTCAAACTAAAGTTAGGATAATATAATTGACATTGCTGGATTCCTTGTAAGACCAGGAATATTTTGAATATAAATGTCATATATTTTGCACAAAAAATAACATATTTACTCAGAGTAAACATTATATCTAAAATTTGTATGTCTAATGCAAAGTCTATGATGTTTATATTCAAAATGATCACCAAATTATAAGAATTCCAGCAATGTAAATTATATTCTGGCCGGGTAGTTTGTATGAATTTTATGAGCTAAAACAAATATCTTCAGTTGTACAGCTTACTTCCTCTTGTTGTATAGCTTACTTCCTCTTGTTGTATAGCTTACTTCCTCTTGTTGTACAGCTTACTTCCTCTTGTTGTATAGCTTACTTCCTCTTCTTGTATAGCATACTTCCTCTTCTTGTATAGCTTACTTCCTCTTGTTGTATAGCTTACTTCCTCTTGTAGTACAGCTTACTTCCTCTTGTTGTATAGCTTACTTCCCCATGCAGTATAGCTTACTTCCTCTTGTAGTACAGCTTACTTCCTCTTGTTGTACAGCTTACTTCCTCTTGTTGTATAGCTTACTTCCTCTTGTTGTATAGCTTACTTCCTCTTGCTGTATAGCTTACTTCCTCTTGTAGTACAGCTTACTTCCTCTTGTAGTACAGCTTACTTCCTCTTGTTGTACAGCTTACTTCCTCTTGTTGTATAGCTTACTTCCTCTTGTTGTATAGCTTACTTCCTCTTGTTGTACAGCTTACTTCCTCTTGTTGTATAGCTTACTTCCTCTTGTTGTATAGCTTACTTCCTCTTGCTGTATAGCTTACTTCCTCTTGTTGTATAGCTTACTTCCTCTTGTTGTACAGCTTACTTCCTCTTGTTGTATAGGTTACTTCCTCTTGTTGTACAGCTTACTTCCTCTTGTAGTACAGCTTACTTCCTCTTGTTGTACAGCTTACTTCCTCTTGTTGTACAGCTTACTTCCTCTTGTTGTACAGCTTACTTCCTCTTGTTGTATAGCTTACTTCCTCTTGTTGTATAGGTTACTTCCTCTTGTTGTATAGCTTACTTCCTCTTGTTGTATAGCTTACTTCCTCTTGTTGTATAGCTTACTTCCTCTTGTTGTATAGCTTACTTCCTCTTGGTGTATAGCTTACTTCCTCTTGTTGTATAGGTTACTTCCTCTTGTTGTATAGCTTACTTCCTCTTGTTGTACAGCTTACTTCCTCTTGTTGTATAGCTTACTTCCTCTTGTTGTACAGCTTACTTCCTCTTGTTGTACAGCTTACTTCCTCTTGTTGTACAGCTTACTTCCTCTTGTTGTATAGCTTACTTCCTCTTCTCATAGGCTGACTTTCTCTTGTTGTAGGCTTACTTCCTCTTGTTGTATAGCTTCACTTCCTCTTGTTTTATAGGTTACTTCCTCTTGTTGTATAGCTAACTTCCTCTTGTTGTATAGCTTACTTCCTCTTGTTGTATAGCTTACTTCCTCTTGTTTTATAGGTTACTTCCTCTTGCTGTATAGGTTACTTCCTCTTGTTGTATAGCTTACTTCCTCTTGTTGTACAGCTTACTTCCTCTTGTTGTATAGGTTACTTCCTCTTGTTGTACAGCTTACTTCCTCTTGTAGTACAGCTTACTTCCTCTTGTTGTACAGCTTACTTCCTCTTGTTGTATAGCTTACTTCCTCTTGTTGTATAGGTTACTTCCTCTTGTTGTATAGCTTACTTCCCTATGCAGTATAGCTTACTTCCTCTTGTAGTACAGCTTACTTCCTCTTGTTGTACAGCTTACTTCCTCTTGTTGTATAGCTTACTTCCTCTTGTTTTATGGGTTACTTCCTCTTGTTGTATAGCTTACTTCCTCTTGTTGTATAGCTTACTTCCTCTTGTTTTATAGGTTACTTCCTCTTGTTGTATAGCTTACTTCCTCTTGTATAGCTTACTTCCTCTTGTTGTATAGCTTACTTCCCCATGCAGTACAGCTTACTTCCTCTTGTTGTACAGCTTACTTCCTCTTGTTGTATAGCTTACTTCCTCTTGTTTTATAGGTTACTTCCTCTTGTTGTATAGCTTACTTCCTCTTGTTGTATAGCTTACTTCCTCTTGTTTTATAGGTTACTTCCTCTTGCTGTATAGCTTACTTCCTCTTGTTGTATAGCTTACTTCCTCTTGTTGTACAGCTTACTTTCTCTTGTTGTACAGCTTACTTCCTCTTGTTGTACAGCTTACTTCCTCTTGTTGTACAGCTTACTTCCTCTTGTTGTACAGCTTACTTCCTCTTGTTGTACAGCTTACTTCCTCTTGTTGTATAGGTTACTTCCTCTTGTTGTATAGCTTACTTCCTCTTGTTGTACAGCTTACTTCCTCTTGTTGTACAGCTTACTTCCTCTTGTTGTATAGCTTACTTCCTCTTGTTGTATAGGTTACTTCCTCTTGTTGTATAGCTTACTTCCTCTTGTTGTATAGCTTACTTCCTCTTGTTGTATAGCTTACTTCCTCTTGTTGTATAGCTTACTTCCTCTTGGTGTATAGCTTACTTCCTCTTGTTGTATAGGTTACTTCCTCTTGTTGTATAGCTTACTTCCTCTTGTTGTACAGCTTACTTCCTCTTGTTGTATAGCTTACTTCCTCTTGTTGTACAGCTTACTTCCTCTTGTTGTACAGCTTACTTCCTCTTGTTGTACAGCTTACTTCCTCTTAACTCAACACTGCACTGCATTATATATTGTCAATATGTAAAATAAATTTCAAAATGACCAATAATTTGCTTGCAAACACAGAAAAAAAAAAGCATTTAGTTGAAGAGTCTTAAGCAAGATGTTACCTCCACTGAAAAGACAGAGAGACTGGCGCCTGTTTGGTGTGTTGACAGGCTAGATGGCGTGCATAAAACTAGTTTCCTTACCTTCAATTATGTTCAATAATTGTTAAAATGACTAAAAAATTTAATATTAAACCTTTAAAATTATTGAATAGTCTAAACTTCTTAATATTTACTAAAATGGTAAGGAATATAAGCCCTAGAACTGATTACTGTATTGACGGACTAATACTCCAGCTGGTGGACAGCCAAATGCAAGCGAAAACATGTTGAGGTCGGCTCGTAACAAACTCGTTAATTGAGGGATTGCTCGTTAACCAAAGTTAAGAATCTTATGGAAGGTAACTCGTTAACCGAAATCTCGTTAACCGAGGCGCTCGTTAACCGAGGGACCACTGTACAGTATATGTAAATTGTAAAATTTTAAATAAGAGAGAAAAACAAAATATGTAGCGTTTTAGACCCGCGCGCTCTGTTTGCACCACACGATCAGACTGAAACACGTGTGAAGTTTTTAAGCGTCCTCAGTGATTTCTGATTACTGTTCCTCCAATTTCGTGACTATGGAAAAGAAGAATATCTCCGGGAAGCGTTCTGGTGATCGCATTTCCGGTGGTGATCAAAAAAGAAAGGCTATAACACTTGAAGGCAAGCTTGATGTTGTCAATCGTTTTGAAAATAAGGAAAAAACATGTGATATTGTGCGTGCAACGGGAATAAAGGAGTCTACTTTACACACCATTAGAGACAATGCAGCAAAGATTAAAGCAAGCTGTATTGCTGGAAAAACACTGAGTGCTAGCAAAAGTGTGAGATCACAGCCAAAGGAACTTGAGGAGATGGAATGGCTTCTAAGTGTTTGGACAGAAGATCAAACGAAAAAGCGATCTGGGACCAGCTTCCTCACCATTAAAGAGAAAGCCTTATCAATATATGAGGACCTAAAGAAAACCTGCACCTGATGATGATGATACTGATGATGACAATGACAACTGTCAACTCCTGTCTGCATGACTCCTCAACATCAACCGTCTCCCCCATCAAGTTATATTCATATTTTTTCAAGGTAAAGTGTAACATTTACTGTATAATTTCATTATTAGATATGAATGTAACATTTATTTAGACTGTGCTATCCTTTGTGTTAGGCTAACTACGAAATTTTTTTCGATTTCGAGTAATCTGCACCTAACCCTATTTTCTCCATAAGCCTTGTTATTTCTATTACGCGAATTTCTATAACACGATGTTTTACAAGAACACAACTATTGCGTTATAGCAGAACTGACTATACTCCAAAAACAGGCCAATACCATCGATAACAATTCCTTGGAACACCCCTAGTCTTAACTTCATGTAGTGATGTCAGACATATACTGTAGCTCTATTTCAGGGATCCCCCACTTGAATAATATAAAATTTTTGGAGGTATAGATAAAGTACAGTAATAAAAATATTGACAAATTTAAAACTGAGATGCAAAATCAATGCCAATGTTTGAACACATATCAGAGCTGCAGTTCTGCTTCACTGAGCTGGGACAGTGTTACCACAGAATGGGGGTTCCCAATTAATTTTAAGCACTTCTGGAATAGCTAAAGACAGTGGCCAGTCAATCCAGCCACCCAACCCAACTCCTGTCAATTCAACCATTGCTTGTTAATTTGAATCTAGAGAGGCAATAAAGGTCACAAAACTGGAACTTGAAACAAACAATAAGTTCTTGGGTCATTTGGGGTTAAGGGGACCATGGATTCAAGGTTGGTCATACAGGGTCTCAGGTTAAGAATCATTGCCCTTGAGAAATTTGAAGTTTAAAGACCTTGCTGTTATGTCTTTTCTCTCTTAGTCACATGCTTTCTTCCTTTATTAGAACTCTCTAAAACATATCAGATTAAGTGTTTGAAGAGTTTGTTTATACTTCATTCTCTTTGCCTCTCACTTACCATCATACCACCAGCCGTGTAGTGCTCTGAACGCTCTTCCCACCTCTGCGAGGGAGGCACACTTGAGGTAAACACAGCCCTCCCGTGATCCCCGGTCCACTGCTATGTGCACGATGCTGATCCCTTCACATTTTTCAAGAATACTGTCTTGGATTCGTAAAGGCCAACTGTCCCCAAACTCTCTGAAAAAAAAAATAGTAAAGTTTAAAAAATTTAATGAATTTACTGTAAGAACTCAACATGGCATGGTTTTTAAGTCACATGAATTCAGAGAGAAATATACCAAAAGCTTAGTACAGACAATGAACAGGGTAGGGAGTCATAACAGCCAAACTGCATCTTGATTAAAAGTGCATATGGCAGTTCAGAATGTAGTATGACAGATCACATAAACTGTAATGGCTGGGCCACCCCTTCAACCATTTTAAATCTGACTGCCTAATAATTGAGGAATTCAAGGAAAAGGGACTCAGCCACAGGGCGTCAGTTGGGCTCTGTTGACAGTGGAGTGAACATCTATTTTGTTGGTATCTTGAATATTTTTGCATTTTTTATTGAAATTATTGGCCATTCTGAAATTTAGTTAACATATTGATAATATATAGCGCAGTGTTGATTTAAATAAAATAATCTTGAATTACATCTAGTGAACTTAAAATTTTATTGGTGAAATAACGGCATCAAGTATGGGTCCCCTGAAAGGTGATTTCTCCTCCATCCCCACTTCCTTCTCTTCTCCCTTCTCCTCCACCCCCATTTCTAATTCCCATCATCATCATCATCAACCTCAAAGTAAGTGTACTTTACTACATTTTTTCTTTACTTTGAATGTACTTTTCTGTGAGCTGGAACCAATTACCCAATATCCCATTGAAACAATGGATTCGGTTAACAAAATTTTTGGTTAACAAACGACTCTGTGGAACGAATCGTGTTCGTTAACCGAGGGACCACTGTACAGCTCCTCCCCAACTTACGACCTACTCGACTTACAACCACCCGCACTTACGACCTGCCTCAGTCATACCAAAATGTTGTCAAATTACGTATTTTCGAGTCGCAACGTCAGTACAGACAAAATTTTCGTTTGTAATTAACTTTAAAATGGCTGGTAAGCTTAAAATTGAGAGTTTTGTGGTGCTGAGAAGAAAAAGAGACACCCATTTTAGATTTTCTATGTATTATTTAAGCATTTTCGACTTACGACCTGGATTTGGGTCTCTAACCCCGCCGTAAGTCGGGGAGGAGCTGTATATATTAAATGCATCCTCTGAAAGCGTGAATTTGCTACCCGAGTTTAACAGTTAATTCATGTAAAATTCTTCTGATAAACTTCCTACGTGCTTATGTTTGAAATAAGGAATGTATGTATCTTTATATAATTTAGCTAAATATCTTTCTCGACAGAAACGATCATCTCAGCGATTATGAATAAACTCATTTAGAAATACATTATTACTTCAGGACAAAATCGGACAGGTTTGCAACAGCCAATCAACTTAACTTTTGAGGAGGGGCGGGGCATCTTTTCTCAGCTGGGAAAAAACGTGTTATAGACCTTGAGCGCCAACTGTCAAACATGTCACTGTCACCTCCCCTTCCTCCCTCCACCCCTCCCAGCCAGGGTTTGGTGGCTATACACATACAGTAGGCTTTAAGTTTTCATCTTATGTATCACAGACTAAAGTTAGGAGAATGTAATTTGCATTGCTAGAATCCTTGCAAGACAGTAATTTATTAGAATATAAATGTCATATATTTTGCACAAAAGTTAAAAATATTAGCCATTTGTAATTAGAAGTAAAATTTGTTTGTCTAATGCAAACTATAGCATGTTTATATTCAAACTAACCTCTATCTTATAAGAATTCCAGCAATGTTAATTATATTCTCCTTGGTCAGTTTAATGACATTTATAAGAGAAAAACTTAAGTCACTCTTAAGGACAGATAAATAAATAAGCACTAGACCTTGGCATCAACTGTCAAACATATCACCTCACCCCCCATCTTCCCTGCTAGTAAACAGACCATTATGCATCCCTTAATTTTAGCTGTGTTGATTTATGAGTGTTTGTTTTAACATAATAATACAAAAAACAATGTTTTGTTTATTCTAGATGGGCTGAGGTGCATCTGGGTAGACTCTCAGTCTTTTTAGTATTTTGTGTTTCTCTCAAGTACCAAACTAAATTATTCCATTGAAGCAACACTTCTATTTAGTGCGAATTCGGTTTAAAGCGACCACTCTTGGAACGTATCTCGTGTTATATCGACGTTCTGCTGTATAAGGCTACGGGAGTAAACCCAGAACGAAAAACCTGTGGTGGAGCCCCGCATCAGGTAGACATGCTTACAGAGCTCCAAGAAGACCCCAACCAGTTGTGTAGGCGGAAGAAGTGACCAGCATGGAAACCCAACGACTACATCTGTGGACGAAGGCAATGACTGATGGACTAAGGCGAAACCCAACAAACTGGGCTATCGGCAGTCCATTGCAACTCTCCCTCTCCCCAATCGTTGCAACACTTGCACCACTAGATCAGGAAAAGGGAGAGCCAAGATGTGTGGTTGCAGCCTGCGCTCCTGCCTCACCACATAAATCAACTCACGCGCAGCCATCACTCAGCTCATCATCATCAATCCCCTACACCAACAAAAGTCCTATGGCGACAGGGACAGGCAGAGATGACTGCCGGGAGTCTCTAGTCACAACTCTGCACATGGGTGGCACAGATAAGATGGTCGTTTATGCACCGGTATCTAGGCAGCAGTGCAATCCGGTCCTGTCTGTGCAACTGAGCAGCACTTACGAGAAGCCAATCTGCTCACCCCTAAACATAGCCTCCCTAAAAACCCAACCTGACTGGGCAACCGCACCCAGGAAGATCATCCTTATGCGGTTGCAAACACAATCAAAATCACATATAAAAAAACAAAAAGACAAAAAACATACAACCTCTTATGGTCGCTGCATGGAATGTCAGGAACCTTCTGGATACTGGCACAAATGAGCATCCTGAAAGTAGAACTGCCCTTGTGGCAAAAGAGCTGGCTAGGTATAACAATGACATAGCAGCCATCAGTGAATCCCGGCTCCCAGATGAGGGCCAACTCACAGAACGGGGGTCTGGCTACACCTTCTTCTGGAAGGGTAAGCCTGCTGCAGAGAGAAACCATATTTATGGAGTTGGCTTTGCCATCCGTCAATGCATCCTACACAGGCTAACTGAAATGTCTATTGGGATTAATGAGCGCCTCATGACGCTTCGAGTCCCACTGGATCACTCACGTCATGCCTTCTTCATCAGAGCATACGCCCCAACACTGGATGCAGAGGATGACATGAAGGAGGCCTTTTATGCCGACCTTGACAGAGTGCTAACCTCTATCCCTAGAGAAGATAAGGTTGTGCTCCTTGGTGACTTCAATGCCAGAGTTGGCAGAGATGCTGACATTTGGCAGGGAACCATAGAGAGAAATGGACTAGGCAAGTGTAATTCCAAAGGCCTACTCATCCTCAGCAAGTGTGCAGCTCACAACTTCACTATCAACAATACCTTGTTTAGGCAGGCCGACAAGTTCAAGTGTTCGTGACAACACCCACGATCCAAACACTGGCATCTCATTGACTACATCATTGTCAGAGAAAGAGATCGCCGAGATGTCCTCATCACCCGTGCCATGCGTGGCTAAGACCACTGTGACACTGATCATCGACTTGTCAGAGCCAAACTCTCATTTCACGTCACCCCAAAACGGCAAAGGCAGCAAGCCTCCAGAAGAGGTTTTAATGCTAAGTGTCTGGAGGATCCAGTGTTAGCACATGCTTTCAGAGAGCAGCTCAAACATGGGCTTATAAAAAAACCAACAGCAAATAACATGAATCCCAGTGCCGAATGGGATACTCTTATTACTGTTCTGACAAAGACCTGCAGAGAGACCCTCGGCCAAACCAAAAGAATACACCAGGACTAGTTTGATGAAAATGACCAGGCAATCAAGGAACTCATCGATGATAAACGTGCTGCTTTTACTGACTGGCAGAACAACCCTCAGTCTCGGACCAAAGCTGATACCTTCAGCAAGAAGAAAGCAGCGGCCCAGCGGGAACTTCGCAATCTAAAGAACGACTGGCTTAAAAATAAAGCATGTGAAGCAAAAAAGCCTGCATATCAGCACAAGATGCACGAATTTTTCATTTCCACTTAAACATTTTATGGGCCAGTCACTTGTGGCACAGCCCCTCTCCGCTCAATTGATGGTAACCACATAATTAAACACAATGAAGGCCTCCTTCAGCGCTAGAAAGAGCACTACCATTCACTACTCAACCGAAACACCTATGTGGATGTCCTCACTACCCAGCAGGTCCCTCAGCATCCAGAGCTAACTCACCTCAGCTATCCTCCATCCCTGGATGAAGTAGCTACTGCCATCAAACAGATGAAAAATGACAAAGCCACAGGGCCTGATGGAATCCCAGCCAAGGTGTATAAAGCAGGAGGACCTGTACTTACCAGCTGTCTCCACTCTCTCCTGGAGAATATACGGGAAAAGGAAGAAATCCCCCAAGCTCTTAAAGAAGCCTCCATTGTCAATATTTATAAGAACAAGAGAGACCGGTCAGGTTGTGGCAACTACCGTGGAATCTCACTGCTCTCCATAGCTGGCAATGGTCTGAGTCCTCCTAAACAGACTTCTTCCTGAGATGGAAAACTTACTCCAAGAATCTCAATGTGGTTTTCAACCATCAAGTGGCACCACTAACATGATCTTTGTTGCCCGCCAGATACAGGAAAAGTGCAGAGAACAGCTTTGTGACCTGTGCATGGTTTTCATCGACCTAACCAAGGCTTTCGACTCGGTCAACAGGGAAGCCCTCTGATGGACCCTCAGCCGTTATGGCTGCCCACCAAAATTCATCACCATTGTGAGGCAACTACACGATGGCATGAACGGCAGTGTCCTGCACAATGGCACCCAGTCAGAGTTCTTCCCCATCCAAACGGGAGTTAAACAAGGGTGTGTACTGGTACCAACTCTCTTTTCCATCTTCTTGGCTGCCTTCCTTACTTGTGCCAGTGCCAATGTAGCCGGTGGGGTGAACATCGAGTATTGGATGAAGGATCTTTTCAACATAAGACGATTCCAGGCAATAACAAAGGTATTAGCAGCTTCCA